TAGCCTAAAGTATGTTGGTTACTATCATCCATTTTATAAATAAATTTTCATTCGGCCAAGTTTTAATATTTAGCTTGGGCAAAAGATAATTTTAATGAAAAACACTCGCAACTCGAATCACAGTGAGAAAATGGGGAAAACATCTGACATTTCTATTTGAACTTTCAGATGTCATGACAGAACAATCATCTGCTGTTGATCGTTCAAATAAACAGAGTGACTTTGACGTGTTGTTATTTTGGGGCTAGCTTCAGAGTGGTATTCCGAAACACAAAATGACAATTAGTGAACGTGGTGAAAATTGGAACTAAAAATACCCGTAACGTTTTGACAATTTTGGATTACAGTGGCGCTCCCATGTAAGTAGTTCATTAGAAATTGTCCAGTGCAATAGTGCAAATGGCTGCACTGTATTTAACTGAACTAGTATAGATACTAGGTCCAAAAAAAAATTTCGTCGTAAAATGTAACTGGATTGTTCACTGTAAATGGATTGTTCCGAATTAAACCACGCGAATATGATCGAAATGTGATGAAACATTTAGTAGACCGCTAAGAAACGAGTAAATAATGGCCACTCAATGGAAGTTGAGGCGAAAATTGATATTATGTTTAAACATGTTTGCAAGCGAGCGAGAGCGAAAGCACTTGATCAGTCAGACTAACTACGCAAGACATTAGCGCAGAAAGTGTACAAATCTAAGAAAAACGAGTACTAACTACAAAGTAACGAGAACTCAAAAAATATTTTTTTTTAAATTAAAATATTACTTTATTTATTCAGTCCTAGTATATACTGTTATGATATTTTTTGTACCAAGAAAGAACTATGACTAATACTTCACCGAATAACGTTATACATCACTACACCAGAGTGAAGTTAGCGATTACAAGGAAACGAACCCAAAGTTTTTCTATTTCATGTAAGTACGTCTTATGCGTAATGAATTTTCACAATAGATTAATTCGTAGTCGGACTCGAGTGCGGTGTTGATTTATAAAACGAGTAACAAAAATCAAAACAATAAAATCCATGTGTTACGCGCTCAGTGATCTATTCAGTCGGTGTGTGTCATCGTGTGTGGACTACAGTGCGCCATTGCAGTTTACCTCACAATATAAAAAACAAGGAATGTGCGGATAGTTTTACTCAATGTGGTTAAGTTTGCAAGTGCTTTTACTAGAAATGGAGTGATAAATTCATCCAGCAGCTATGGCAAACGTTTGTACAAGTACTAAAAGGACGAAGTGCAGTGGATTGAAGAGAGGACCGCAATATGGATTTTGGATCTGGTGTACATTGATAAAGTGTTTTGTTAGTTTACCCTGTATATTTTCGACATGTCTAGGTGTAGATCTATCGGTGAGACTGCAGCCAGAGGGAGTAGTGTCGGTGCGATTCGGCGAGCCCCTGGAAATATTCTGCATAGTTGATAATAATGAGTACACCAACTATACCTCCAATGATCTCGAGTTCACCTACAGTGGGAGGCCTGTTCCTTCCACAATCGTCAATGACACGACTATCAGATTATACATAGACCGGCCGGAGAAACAAATAAGTGCATACTATTGCTGGAATAAGAAAACCAAAAAAAAGTGTACAAGCAGAGTCTTGGTGGACTCACCGCCTATGAATGTGACGGATTTTAATTGCGTCTCAAGAAATCTTGAAATGCTGAACTGCTCATGGACTTCACCACCCAATGTGGCCACTATAAACTACTCGCTCACTTTTCTAGTAAACGGTAATGTAGTTCCATCATGCAAACCTGAGAAAACATCAAACCAATTACTATTCTGTACATGGAATACAAGTAGTGAGCCTAGGTACAGGCAGCAAGAGGAAGAGTACATCTTTATACTCAAATCATCAAATCAGTTTGGGCCCAACATTCAGAACTTTACAGTCAACCACTTTGCTGTCGTTAAACCAGATCCACCGAGTAACCTGAAGTTGGAGCAAGTGAATTCTCACAGCATTTTATTAAAATGGAATATTCCAAATACCATGGCAAACCTTTTGACCTGTGGGGTGGACCATCGAATAGAGTATCAAATTGCTAAGATCGATAGCCGAACTCATTTTCGTACTGTGGATACCTCTGGCTTACCCCCTAACAATAAAACTTATAAGTTCTTATTGAAAGACCTTCCATATGCTTATATGCAGTATGAGGTGAGGATCTATATTAAATCAAAGAAAGCTGTTGAAGAGGAGTTCTGGTCTGACTTTACATACAAGGTTTTTTACACTCGTAGTGAGAAACCCAGACGGCCGCCAGAATTGATAGCCGGAGCATTCAGTGAAGCTGAATTTCATGAACATAAAAGAATATGGATTTATTGGAAACAGCTTGAAGAGTATGAAGAGGCTGGTGCTAACTTCACTTACCAAGTGCAGATAGCTCAGGGCTCTAAGACACAAGTTCTGTTTCCTGATAAAAACAAAAGTCTGAGCTATGTAGAGCTAACAGCACCCTGGGAGGCTATGGAAGTTACAGTTTGGTCATACAATGAAAAAGGCAAGTCAGAAAACAGCAGTCAGCTTTATATTCCACCTAAAACAGATGCTTCTCTGAGAGTTACAACTTTTACCCAACTTGCATATAAAAGTGGGACTTATAAATTATCATGGGTGGGCAAGGAAAAGATTGACAATTATACATTGTTTTGGTGCCAGTACAATGTTACCCTTATCTGTGCAGGACGTATGAACTTCACAGTTTTGGACGCCACAAAGAATAGTTACGAAATAACCCTGAATAAAGATCATAGGTATCAGTTTGCTATATCGGCAAACAGTGGAACTAGAACTAGTGGCATAGTATGGGCTCAGTGTGCTATATCTAAAGACTCCATTCCTATGTATGGTTTTCCAGTTACGGTACAGAATGATGCCCCTGGGAAGTCATTTGTCAGAGTAACTTGGACTATGACATGTACATTACAAGAGAGAATTATTACTGGGTACTTACTAAAATATTGTGTTGTTGTGAATACTAGTAATACTTGTGACCCATCATATAAACAGAATTCAACATACATACCAAATCCTGATCAAATGGATGTGAACATCACAGATTTATTGCCTCACAAAACTTATCTGTTTAATTTAGATCTTAATACCACTTTTGGCTTAAAGACTGTAAATGCTTCAAGGTCAATTACCACTACAGAGGATACTCCGACAAGCCCAAGAAATGTAAGAGTTACAGATGTACAAAGCAACTCACTAGTCATATCCTGGGACCCACCCTATCCTAGAAATGGTATTATTGGCCACTATGCTATCTATGATCAGAATACGGAACTGTTGACTGTCAAAGTTGAAGAAGATAGCAAAGATGTCAAAAGAAGAAGTGTAGTTTTAGAAAATTTGATTGGTTTTAGAAACTACACTCTGTCAGTGCAGGCCTGTAATACTGGAATCCACAGTTGCTCCAAGAGTGGTCCTAGTGGAGGAATTTTTGTACGTACTAAAATTGGAGCACCCAGCAGATTAAAAGCTCCAACTGTAAATAATAGCCCTGATCTTCTCAAATGGGAACCACCAGAAATACCAGGTGGTATTGTGGATCAATATCAAATAAGGAAAATAAAAGATGATGCAGAGCCTGAAATACTCAACACCACTAACTTATCATATGAATTGATACTATGTGAGGGAGTAGTAGAGAGAGAAACTTATCAGGTAAGAGCTGTAAACTTTGATTATGGCAGTGACATAATGGCTGATACTCGGTATGTTACAATTCCTGAAGAGAAACAAAGGGAAGAAATTGAGCATCCTGGTTTATGGAGTGAGCCTAGTACAGTTACTTGTCGTAGCAAAGATGGACTTACAATGACTTTGATTTTCATGATTGTATTTTTCCTACTAGGAATAGGGTATGGAACACTAAAGTTGTACAAAAAATATAGAAAAATGGGTGATATAAAACCTGTTTTACCAGATGGCCTAAGTATTCCTGAGAAAGATACATCTAAATATTCTTATGGTGGGTGGAACCCAACAAACAAAGAAGAAAAACCCTCTTCAGATGAAATGTTACTTCTGCCTAATGCTAAAGGTGTAGTTCCTTCACCAGAAATTAAACAAAAAGATAATAGCAACTGTGGGTCCAGTGACCACACAGACAGTACTGCTTTATCTGATACTTCCAGAGGAGCTGTGGAAAGACAAGCCTCTACCTCAGATGAGAGTTCAAATTCTTCACTTAATCTTGAAGTAGAAACAGTTAAATTAGATGATAATAACTTAAACCAGGATGGATATTCCCTAGACAATTCTGATTTAGACAGTTTACGTGAAAACTCGCCGTACTTTACGGACAATTTCAAAAAGGATACAGCTCCTGTGGTGAATCCTTCAAGTGGTTATGTAGAAGCTGTTCCTAATATTAAGAGTTCGCCTCAAAAGCCTGCTGCACTTCAGCCGGCCGGCTCTAGCTATGTTATGGCGAGTTTTTCGCCGCCGATATTCACGACCGGCATGACGCCAGCCGGCGTGAACTACCAACCACCTACCTCATCTGGATATGTGCGTCACGACGACGCTCAGATCAAGTCATTGATGAACTTACCGAATTTAGGCCTGTCGCCGACGAAGGCGCTCGGGCCCGAAAGCTTGCCCACAATGCCTAGCTTGCCACAGCCAGCGAAACATGGCGTCGATAACAGTTACATCCAACTGAAGTCACTGGACGTCATGCCTAGTCTTAAGTCCGCTGTTCGTAACACAGTGCCATTAAAACCGCAAGCGCCCGGCGGTTACGTTAGTGCGAACGACCCCATGATCAACAAGCACCTGAACTTGCCCGGGGCGCAGCCCGTGGAGGAGTCGGCCATCCTGGACCCCACCATGTCCCCCGACGCGTACTGTCGGTTCTCGTGGAGTACGGACCCAGCGAAAGACAATCTCCATTCGTTTTACTCCCATAAGAACTGAATCGTTTTGTACAATAAATAGTGACATGGTACTGAAATAATGTGAATTGTAATTAGTGACTGAATAGTAAATTTTTATGAACATAGAAGCTTTACAAAGTGCTATAGAATCATTGGACTTGTATATTGTTTACACAAGAATGTTGATGTGTTAATAGTGATAATTCTTGTGCCTTATTAATTTATTTTAGGTGATTTACAGAAATATTTTAGGTAAGGATATTGATTTTACAATTCTATGTAACTTTGTTTTGTTGAATTACTAAAAAACCAATAACAATTTCAATTGCTTTGATTTGATCTTAGATACATTCACTTTTATTCTGGTTGGTTATTATTGAACGTACCTATAACTTTTTGCACGAAAAACTTTGATTGACGATTATGAGTGACGCATTGACCATTATTTTTTACAATAGAATTTCAAAGGTAAATTCCCTAAGTCGCCGATAACCCATCGGTGGTCTGGTTAAACTGGATTACAAATCATAGATCTTATAAACTCGTCTATTCGCGATCCAAGCTAATACACGGCGCTCGAGCGCTCGCGGATTTAAAGCCTGACAAGCACGGACCGTACATACTGTTTATTTTGAGTATAGTTAATTATTCGAATCATTTATTTGATTATATGACTCTTAAAAACAATGTTATCTAAACATAGTATCATCAACTCATTTAGTTCCTCAATTAATTTCCTCAGAATCTGTTTACCTGTTAATATAAATTAATTAACATCTTTGGTCTGTGATATACTTGTATATTACAAAATCAAGATAAGGAAGCAGGAAAATATACGTGTATTTGAAATTATAGGGCTAGATTTATAACCACGATAGCCGAACGGTGAAGGGGTCGGTGTGGCCGACTCGAGATACGAGGAACGCGGGTTCGTATCCCACCGCCGCTCGACTATTGTGGTGAGCCCACTCGTAACACAAGCTTATTTAGCTTACCACGAGGGGCTAATGGGACTATTAGTAATTTGGGCAATACAAATTGGTAATAATCTTTTTAAAAAAAAAAAAAAAAAAAAAAATATTGCGAGTAAATAACGTACATATCGCGTAATCGTTGCTGCGTCACTCGGGACTCCTATAATAATTGACCTCCCAGAAGTAATCGATCAAATTCTAATAAATGTTTGCAACGTGTGAGACAATAACGGTTAAATTATATCTGCAAATCCATTGTTTCAATGACTGAAGTTGAAAACGCGTTTGTTGCAGTGTTGTCCCAACGAAACAATCATGGAAGGTATCTATAAAATCAATTTGGTGCCCTCCGATTTGAGTACGGAAGAAACTATACTACAGATCGCAGACACCCTCGACAACCTTAACGGTGTCATCGACGACGTATTCGCTCGACTCATGGGTAGAATCAAGCAGAACATTGACAAGACCAACAAACTCACGGATAGAATTGAGATTTCTAGGAAAAAAGTTGAAACACTGACTGGGATGCAAAAGGCGATCAAAGTGTTCTCTAGTGCTAAATATCCGGCATCGATCGTCCACGAACATTACAAATCTGTCTTAGATCTAGATGCTTATCAGCATAAACCTCAAAAGGTAACCTTGAGTGGGAAGACTCAGGGCCAGCCTAATGACAAGGGAATACAGGTAATTTTTAATCAATAGTTATCGAAAATGGTTTCTACAACTTACTAACTTTGTATTTCAGTAAGAAATAATAAACATAATCGGTTCTCTTTTAGGAAAAACTTCACTTTTACCACGTCAAAGTGGCCGCACCAAAGAACACCAAGCCTAAACCAGACTTTGAACTTAAGGCTGTTATAGATGACATTACCACCGTAGGAGAGTTGCTGGTTTTCAATAGCGGGGAGAGCCCGTACTTGGGTATTCCAGACAAAGCCCCCGCATACGTCCCGAAAGTTCCAGACGTTGAGAACAGGAGTTTACTGGAAGACGCGCCGTCATCCATCATGAAGAGGGACGTGCTGAAGAGAGAAGTTGACGAGTACATGTATGCTCCCGGCATGGGGATGGTAAGAAACAATTCTAACAATACGTAGCGTTTGAATGCTTCCTAAGAAGACGCGTAAATTCTTGTTAACTCATCCCATGGTAGTGTCATTACGAACACTTACAGGCTTCCGAGAATCGATATTGATACTAATGTCTTTATAGTAAACAGAATTTCCTTAATGATTGTTATTAAATCAACAACGTAACAAAGGTTTTCTGCTCAACACTATTTTTTCGTGTATGAGATTGGTTTTTGACTGGCACGTTATTACGACAGGTGCCAGAGTTGGAGATGCCATTGGACTTGCCGCACCTTCCGGGCATCGCAGGGGACGTCCAGTTCTCGATCACGACCGACGGGTCGATTGCTCCGTCGGCCGTTACGTCACCGGTCGCTCCGGTGGTTGCGTTACCGGAGTCGGAACTCCCGGACTTCAAGGAGTTGCCGGACGTGAAGTTGCCGGACGCGCCTCTGCCTGCTGTGCCGGACATGCCGGACGCTCCGCCCCCGGAGCCGCCGGCGGCTAAGGCTATGCCACCGCCGCCCCCGCCGCCGCCGCCGCCGCCGCCACCGCCTCCAGTACCGGAGGCAGCCCAACCACCTGATACTAAACGGTGAGTTGTTTATTTCGTTACTTTTGAACTAAATCTCTCGTAAAACTATTATCGATTCTTTTCACAACAGTGAACGGCGTATATGAAACGCGAGTGTATATTGGCTTCATTCCGCCCACGTTTTCGGCTTAATCCACAATTCCATTTCAACTGTAATAACCAAATTAGCACACCTTATGTCACCTATTTTCTGAAACAGTCTAATCTACGTCGGGGATTTGATTTGGTAAACAATGAAATGTAAATCCCTGTACGTTATGAAACACATTTTAAATGCACATTTGTTTAGCTAATGGTCGTTAAACAAAATTTAACGGAGAAAAAAGTCGTGTAAAAACTCAATTTCTCTTGACCTTACCCCACGTGTTTACCTTTTTTTAGCCAGGGATGGGGCAAAACACATTAGCGTTATCGTATTTCTTTACCTGATTTTTTTCAGTAAACCCTTGCCATATGTTCGGTCGCTGGTTTTTGTTGCATCACTAAACGAAGTCGTAAAATTATGAAACATTTACTGACCATAAAATCGTTATTATAATAGGAGGGGAGAGCCCCTACTTCTAGTGATTTCTTAAACATTCATGAGTTGATAATAACTAATTCAGAGTCGGAAGGGGAGAAGTATTGCTGCATAATTCGTTTGCTGTTTTGAGACTACAGCGTCGTTTCACTTAAGCTTTATCGACTATGTAGGATTATATTGTTTAGTTAGGTAAATGAAACTAAATCTTTAGTTTGGTCGGTTCACAACAGAGCGCCAGGAACAGTGTTCGCTTATTGCGCGAGTTCCCCGTATTATTCTTTAGCAGAAGCGCGCTGCGAAAACAAAGCGTTTGCTCGATCCCTAGAACGCTCTTTACAAATCGTTCATAAATAGCACAACTTTGCGAAGCCTTTGTGCAATTATGCAAATTCTCCCTCTCTATTTTATGTCCCATTTTGTTTGTGGTTTTACATCTGTGTGAGTAGTTTCATCTTTTTTCTTCAAAAGTGTGATTAAGAAATATTTTGGTTGTTTTCGTTTATTTCGATTTTCATTTTTCTTTAATTGTTTCCATTTTCCGAAGAAACAATCGCAGAAGATTAGCAACAATCGCTCCTAACGCTGAAACTGCATTCTTCCGACAACGGGTGACAATCCGGTTTTGTTGTCCGCATGAATTGCCTCGCAATGACTACAATGCCTGTATTGTTATGTATCAGATCGTCATTAGTGTCGCTCGTTAACAACGTTCATCTGTTTAATTTATCCGCTGGATTTACAAAAGGCAGCATTGTTTCATCATTTTTTGTACTAGCTGTTTAAAAACCAGCCGTGTCTATGCATTTGTCTGTGTTCTAATACAACGCTCAGGTTCGAATCTATATTCAAGAATAGAGTCGATTGTCATTGGCCTGTATGAAGAAAGATAGCCAAGCTATATGTTAAATCTGGTTCCTAGGCTTGTATTAGCTTAGACTAGACAGGCTATCATTCTCAAACTTGAGTCCCGTTAATGATAGAATGCGTATCCACGGAAAGGTTGCGCAAATGTCAAATGAATTATCTAAACCTTGTGCGTCAGTTGTTAAAAATATATAAACATTTACAGTTATTCAGGTTTTATTCATACTGGGGTTTACTGTTTGGAATTGATAGATCAGCGTACTATGACGATGTAAACGATACACCAGTAAACATCAATATAGTCCAGTCAAATTAGACATGAACCCTGCAATAATTCGCATACAGCTTTGTATGCGAATTATTGCAATTGGTACGAATGTTCGGAGCACCATTATGAATTAACTGTGAAAAGTCCCCATCGATCCGACGTGTGCTAAAAAAAAATTCAAAGTCAAACTTAAAAAATACGGGTTTTTGAGATTTTCAGCCAAACGGTAAGTTTTATCACAAAAATATGTATCACAAGGTTTAAGACCATACAATTATCTATCAAAATTGTCTATACACTTTCTCCTAAGAGTCAGCGTTTCTGAGATTCGATGATCCGAAGAGTCAAAAAAGTGTTTTTTCATAACGGTCTTACACATAAATCCAATGTGATATCGCCTCGTGCCACGACTCAGCATTGTATCATGATGTGTTGTCGACGTCAAATATAAAATGATTAACCTCAATGTTAATTGTCATCTTTAATTGTCGAAAAATGTTTGCAACTTAGACGAAGGACTGCACCGTGAGTTTATAAGATACGAAGTTTTCGTGTCTATTATGTTTAAGAGCTCTTATATGCACATGTCAATACTCTACTTGTAACTCTATGGTCACTCTTTTAGCCCGGTCAAGTCAGAAAATCCAGGTTATAATAATTCGCATAGAGCTGAAAATTTGTGTGATTGTTGAGAACACCATCCTTAATGAAATGTCAAAAGTCCCCAGCGATCCGTCATTTGAAAAAAAAATTTACGAAGTCCAAGTTTTTTGCATTTTTTCGCCAAACAGTAAACTTATCATAAGAAATGATAAGAAATAGTAGTAGATCATAAAATAATCTATTAAAATTGTCTTTGCCCCTTTTTCCTAAGAGTCACCGTTTATGTGGTAACGATGCAAAAAGTTGGAGAATTCGCATTCTGTTAACTACTCCAAAAGTCCACAACTTCAACTGTATTAAAATAGTTTTGAATTGAACAGGATAACAAATACATCTTAAAAAAGGCCTACTGGGAAAACCTGGTAAATAAAATACGCCAAATAACCCTCATAGGTGTTGTGGAAACATGTGCATATAACGAGAACATCAAAACTGCCCTTCTGACCCACCGCACTACCAAACCACACTACCAGTAGTGTCGTGGGGAATATTTTTTCCCTTCTGCACTACCAAGCCAGTAGTGTCGTGGGTAACATACATCTTCATTCCCATCGACACTACTACCATAAATAAATGTAAAATTTGTAAAATTTTGGATTGTTTTGTAATAAATTATGTTTATATGCAACCCTAACCTCTGTGCAAATTTGCAATTTGACGGAATTTACTGAAAATAAAATATTACCTAAAAGGCCTATAACTAAGTATATACTTTTGCGTGAAAGAAAACCCTAAAAAAATATATTTACCCGACTACGGCAAAGCAAAAGGAGGATTATGATTTTGACAGGCTATGTATGTATGTATGTATGTTAATCTGTTCCCTCGTAACTTCTAAACTACTTATCAGAATTCGACAAATGACATATCATTAGAAGCGTCTTAATTGTCCGCTGGTTATAGGCTATATGGGGTTTCACAAAATCTAATGTGGCGCCCTCTAGCGGACAAACCATACAGAGTAAAAAATAAAGTTAAGATAAATATGCCGTGTTTGGTATCATTTGAAAGCGTTTTACTTGCACATTTACCTTAACATGTNAATAGCAAAAACGGTTATTCTTAATTCAATTGTGAAACTATTCCACAGTCCTGTGCTTCAGATAGCTATTAATTAATACATTGTGTGTTAAGTTCCCATCGTTGGATCCAGGAGCGATTTGGCAAATGTGAGAAAAACTCACTGTCTGATTAAAATTCCTGGGTCTATTTGCGGCCGATATTTAGAACGTTAAGGCGCGTTATGCGGTTTTCTTTTGTTTGTGTGGCCAGAGTACACTGTTGTGCTTTTTGTGGGCATATTAATGAGCTCTCATTGTGCTCGACTAGCTTTTCACACCAGACTTCAATAATTCATGAAATTATCAGTCTTATCTCGGTTTCTTAATCAGACGCTCGCTTATTGATTGACTATGATATGGAATACCTCCTTTAATTAACGTGGCCGGCTGGTCCTCCGTAGATCGTTGGACAGATAAAGACATTAAGTACAGCTTCCATTCGGGATTCCGCTTCCAAACCGGGAAAATTATAAAATCAATAAATTGATTCACCTGTTTTTTCCCTGTTCTGTTTGTATAAATTAGTTAACATGTCAACGGCCTCATTAAGATAAAGTAATCATTAAACGTAGAGTAATGCTAAATGTACAGTCTTGGATTTAATGCTAATTGGATAAAATAGCATTGAAACATATTTTCAATATTGATTTTTAATTCCCTAAGGGACTTCTAAACATCAAACTAGTCAGTCAATTTGTCCATGTTTTTGTTCCTTGGTTGTTTGTTGTTTATCAATTTCCTGTTCTTGTTTTTAAAACATTGGAGGTATAAAATAATTTAATTATCTTCTATATTAATTTAGCACAACGCACATTTGAGATTAGCTTTAAAATTTATATTTCCTTGTCAACAGTAAGTCTAGGTATCGGATCGCTAAAACTTTTTGAGTTTACCTTAATTAATTGTATGTTAACAATCATAATATTGACATGTACATTTTCCTGTGATAAGTTTAATTTAAATTAAATACAAATACGGTACTTGGGGAACAAAATAGTTTTTGCGTTGCATAACCTACCTGCCATGGAAGCTTTTGATATGCATTCGCGCTGCGGTTCGTAATTAAACCGTCTATTGTCCTATTTAATGAGCACCACATCGTTTATTCCCACGAGACGCTCCTCGCGCCGTCGTCGTTGGACTCGTTATTTTCATTGAAAATTAATTCGCAGTAAAGTTTAAACTGATGGTAAATGTTTATCAAAATAATTAAAACAACATTCATGAGACATGCATTTATTTATGTTTGTTTAACATAATTTTAATAATGCTGAAAAGTATTAAATTACCCTTAAGTGTAGTTTATGGTTGAACATTGGCGAAAATTTTAATCTATAGTTGAACCATTTTGATCAAAAATATGAAATGCTATTTTTCTTCGTCCAAGTTGCGCTACAGTGACTAATGATTATTGTCTGCCTGAAACATAAAAATGAACGTTTGCCTTGTCTCTTTTGAAATATCTTATCATTAATTCAACACGTTATTAATTCGTGCAATGATAATTACAAACAATAATATGTATTATCGTTCTACTACGCTTGTTTACAAATAACATACGATGTTATTGTAAAAACTCAGTATTTTTAACTTAATGATTTATTTATAAAACATGCAACAG